CGAGGGGTGGATAACTCCCCTGCCAAGTGTACACCCCTAATTCTGCCCAATTCAAACAAATTCAGACCAATTCAATTTAATTCAAACAAATTCAAAACTAATTCAACTAATTCAGTCCAATTCAAGACAATGTTCAGTCAATTCAAGTCAATTCAAGCCAATTCACGCTTATTCAGTAACATAAAATCGCAAAAATTCAAACTAATTCAAAACCAATTCAACCAATTCAGTCAAATTCAATTCAAGCCAATTCAAGCTAATTCAAATTCAATTCTTGAAATTTGTACACCCAATTCAGGAGTTATCCACCCCTCGCTAGTGCTACAGACTCCTAAACGGATCAACCCCTTTGCACGGGTCATCCAGGCGCTCCATAGCGCTCTCCACAAGAGCTCTCTGCGCGGGTGACACCCGGCGCAGCCACCTGGCGTAGAAGTTTTGCAATCGACGTAACGTAGACTCTTCTGATAATGCTAAGCTATAAACTTCATCATAATAAATATCTTTACATCTAGCTAATGCACTTTAAATCTCCTCTCTTAAATCGGAATCTAGGGCAAGCTTTATATTTTCCCTAAAAGTATTACAAGAATCAGAAAACCTTACATCTAGTTTCTCCCTTCTCTCTCTCAAAAGATCTTCCTCCTCAAGGAAAACAGAGATGACCGCATCGACATCCTGCTTCCGCCCCGCGGAGGTACACCACTGCTCCGCCTCCCCAGTCAGGTCGCCGCTGTCAGCAGCTGACGCCTGAGGGGTAGGCAACCACTCAGACCCCGTGGCACCTAGGTCTCACCTCCCACAGGCCGGCTCGAGGCCGTGCGCCCCGCGCAAGCCCGTGTCGGCTGCCTCCTGGCCGCCATCGCCTCCCCGCGGCTGCTCCGCCGCCTCGGACACCTCGGAACGCGGCGCGTCGGGATCAGATCCTTTACTGTTCCCACTCTCCGCCACGTCCTTACCTTCAACCTCTCCCTCCAAATAGGCACGCATACATTGCGATTGAAATCTTCTTTTCCTTTCTTTTTCCCTCTCCAAAACTTCTTTGTTTGCCTGCTCATCTAGAAAAGGATTAGTCCCCACATATGGCTGGTTCAGACCATACCAGACATTTTGCAACCTTGCCAACTGATCCGGCAACAAATGCTCTGGAAACCCAAGTGTGTACTTGAACGCAGGAAATACTGCGCACTTGTTGGTATTCAGTATTTCCTGCGTACCATGTATTCAGTATTTCCTGCGTACTTGTCCATGTATTCAGTATTTACTGCGTACTTGTCAAGTACGCAGGAAATACTGAATACATGAGTAGGTACACAGATCACAAGGGATGCCTGATTTGACACCACAGTATTGGTGCGGGAAGTAATATTTTTTTAATGAAATGTTGATGGTATTACTAAATACTATTCAAAGTAAACTAATTGTCATAGAAAGCTACACAAATTTGTAGTAATATGGCATAGATTCTCTTCTGATTCTTGCTTTCAACTTATTCACTATTATGTCTCTCAATAAGTTGCGGCTGGAGGCCGAACAGTTCAGCAAATCAAGAGATTAGAATCTTTATAAAATTTGTGTGAAAGAAAATGCCTCCCCTCTCTAACTGTTTTTATTAAATTCTTCTGTTGTGTGCATTTTGCAACTCAATCAACTCACCATATCTCTCCTAACCTCTGCATTGCAAGGACCACCTGCAGTCTTCATTCATGCACTAAAGTTAAACCATGTTGTAGGAGACAGATGTTCTGGGTTGTGTTGACTGAAAGGCACCATTTCTTTGGATGATAAGGGATAGCAGAACCACAGTTTCTTAACAAGTATGATTGGTTGTTAGTCAGTAATGAAAGTGAAATGACTCAACGGATTTGAAAAACAGAAACATTGTCTTCTGCTCTACTCGAGCTTGAGTAAAATAAAAACAGCAACAGGCCGATATGAGAAATTCATCAACACTAGCTTGGAGTGCGAATAAGTACTCCATCAAGAAAATACAACTGTTCTCATTTCTGTAGAAGATAGTATTCCTCTTTTTGCTACTATTCATTCAATCTTCTTATCTAAGAACAATGATGTTTCCTTGATGTTGAAGTGTTTAAAGACTGAGAAGTTTGATGCTCACTTACACTCATATGAGGTGTCCAAAACTAACATATGGAAATTTGTTAATCTTAAGAAGCTTCACTCTTATGTGGCAACTGAATTAAGAACCGCCGGAAATAAAAAGAAGTATGTCTTCTTTCGTTACTCTGTTAACAATTGCTAGGGCATCTTCCACATATCTGGTCATATTTTGTCTAGTCTTTGACTTTAATTGCTTTTATTTCTGTGCTAGAACTATGTGTAAGATTTTCATTTCTCTTCCTTTGCTACAATGTGGTTATCATGTTTAATTTTGGTTTAGATAGTACAATTTTGAGTTATCTAGTCTTCTAATTTGTGAGTATCCACATAATATAAGGTTTCACTGTAATAACTCTTGTATAATTCTTTTGAAAATTAAGATTGTACTGTTTTTTTATTGCTCTTAGCAATTTAGTACTTATTTTTGTTCTTTTCTACAATTGCTGTTTTCACATGAGCCTTCTAAAGGGAGGAAAATAAAAGGTGACAACAAAATGTAAACTATAGTGCAATTTATTTGAAGATTTACATTAAGTGCAGGCACAGAAAACATGCTGTAAGTAAGCACACAGCAGCAGGCTGAAAAGAAGCGCAAAATATTAGGCAGGGTGGCAATCAGTAAAACGAGAACACAATCACTACACGGGAGCATAAAGTAGGCTGAAAAGAAGGGCAAAATAATCTGCAGGGAAGCAATCAGGGTACTCACAACAAGAACATGCCACTACATGGAAGCATAATACATGCTCGCTAAAAGAATTAAATTCTACTTGAAATCTTTTCTTTTCCTTCTAGCAATACTACATTATGTTAACACCGAGAACAATGTACTAATTGAAATCATAGAGTATACTTCAAACCAGAAAAAGCATAGTACTAAAGAGAAGTATATTTTATACTATTGTTAAGAATAATTAGGATTGTCACGTATTGAAGAATATTTTATTCTTACAGAAAACATAATATACTTGCTCTAAGAATACTGTTTTGTGTGTGTACCCCAATCAGCCCAAGCCTCATGTTCTCCAGTCCGGGGCCGCTCGGGTGCGCTCTGTGCTCGACACGATGGAGGGCTGGGCTGCTGCAGGCCGAAGGTGTGCGGTAGGGTTCGAGGGTTACCGGTAATTTTGGTTCAAAGTAAAAAACCTGGGTAAATTTCAGTAAATTACCGTTTTTTTTGAGTAATTTACTAAAAACAGCCCAATTTAAAGAAAAACGCAATTTTGAACATTTCTTAAGTGTACTTGTATGATTTCCCGTATACAATCTATTAATAAAAGCACTTGCTTCAGAAGCACCACCGACATAGACGGACGACTGAATATGAAGTGAAAAGATTTTGACCCGGGAGAAGAGATACTTTTCTCCTCACCACTAGATAAACTAGAAAAAGAACATTTTAAAGTATTTGCCGCCTCTTATAAGCATTACGTAGTGCATCCTTGCGTACACCAATGGATTCTTACGTCTAGCCACAAGGAGTTTTAATGTCTGCTTTTGTGCACACGAAAAGAACTCGAAATGTAATGCTCATAAAGCATTGAACCCGAAAACCTGTACAAATTGCAAAGATTCAAGCAAATTAGAACATAAGTATAAATTTGGACACAGGAAATATTAGAACGTTGTCAGTCGATCCATTAAAATTTAGTGCCC